AGATGGAGCTAAATTATTATTGTAAGTCTCAATATCTAGCCTGCACTTTAAAGGGGACCTATCGTGCAAAATGCACTTTTGTACGTCTTTTATACATGAATGTGTGTCAGGGAACTCACCAAGTGTCAGAAAACACAACCCTCTCTCTTTTCCTCCATACCTAAATCTCTAAAAACGGGGCCGCAACGGATCTGATACAGATTTGAAATATCTCTGACGTCAGAAACGAGAAGCTCCGCCTATATGGGCAACTCTACACCTATCAGGAGGAGACAGGCACGGCCATTGCCGTTCGAAAGCGCTGAAGACGCTCTAGTACATATGCCAGGCCTGTAGGTGGCGCTGTAGTCTGCCACAAAAGCAGAATCAGCCCTTGCAAAAACAGGGCTGGAAAAGAGCAAATAGAGCGAAATGAGGCATGGCTAAAATGCATAATCTGTTTGGTATTTTGAAAAAAAAACTTCACAGACATGTTTTATATACAGTAGGTATGGCCCTACAATATATGTTTCAAATATAGCATGATAGGTCCACTTTAAGCTAACGATAAAGCAAACAAATCCACTGTCTCTTATCTCAATTTAACTTGATTTGACGCATGGTACCCTGTGTTTAATTATGTGAAGGTGTGACTTTTTCTTTTACCCTCCCCCTTGTCACCCACTAATTACTGTAGGTGTAGGGCTGTGCGATTATGGCAAAAATCATAATCACGATTATTTTGGTCAATAATTGATATCACAATTATTTAATACGATTATTCATTGACTTTGAAAACATCCATTTATTGAACTTTAAAACAAATAATAATTTGAACAGTATCTTTTTAACTGTTGATTACCCTGAACGTATAATTCAACTGAAAAACAAAATAATAAATACCAATAAACAAGATCAACAAATATTTGTTTGGAGCGCACTTCCAAAAGCTACTAATCATATATAAATATGATAAATACAAATAAATTATACCAAAATAAATGAGATCAAATATGTTGCAGTGCACTGTCACAACCTACCAAAGCAAAATAATCTTTTTTTTCGATTATGTTGTTTTCGTAATTGTGGCAGGCCAAATCGTAATTGCGATAAAAATAGGATTAATTGCACAGCCCTATGTAGGTGTAGAATGAGGTATCACAAATCACCCTTTTCATTATAAGTGATGCCATGGCTCTGCACAGGCTGCTGATTTACTGTGTATTACTAGCCATATGAAGACGTTACTGTCGTTCATTGCTTGAGTGATAGAGGTGCATTGGCATTTTTTGGGCAAAAATAAAAACAAACTTGTGTATTCCCTATCTTGTGTAACTTGGCCCTGCAATTTGATTTCTCTTCAAAAGTCACTGGCTGCTTGTTAAAAACGGGTGAAAACGGGAACATAAGGAGCTCTGGGAGTGATAGAGAGTAGAAACGAGGGTTGAGAAGTGAGAGACAACTGAATAATTTCTCGCCCAAACTCTGCAGAGAGCTGATTATACCGCAGCCGAACATCCACATCATTCCCAGAGGCCGCGACTCATTCCTGGCGCTCAGTAAAAAGAAATTAAAGATGTTTTGCTGGCCAGCCTGAGTGGAGCGGGGGTAACATTTGTAGGAGTCTTGTGTTATTTATTTGTTCAAGTTAGTTGGGGGTCAGATGAGGCCAAGGATGTAATAGACCTGTCAAGAGTCTCCGGAGGAGCTACGGAGGAGGAGAAACAGGAGATTAGACTGGGGGAGGAGGAGATAAGAGGAAAAGATGGACCAATGAAGGCTTGCTCGAATAAGAGGAGAAAGGGCATCAGACAACACGACTTAAAGGACGGAGAAGTCCGCTCATAATGAAAAAACTAGGATATGGTACTGAAGTGTGATAACATAAAAAGAGATTAGAAATATTACAGGAAATAAACTAATATTACTTTTTTTATTAATAAAACACAACACATGACATCAATATCTAATCCAGCGTCATACACTGCAAAAACTGAAACGTTGACTTTAATTAAATGTATTATCTCAGGTTTCACCGACTGTATTATGTTGACATTATACATTTAATTAAAGTCAACGTTTCAGGGTTTTTTCAGTGTAGTTTAGGATTTATGTTTTTTGCACCATATTTTGTTTAAAGGTGGGGTATGTAAGTTTGAGAAACCGGCTCGAGATACACTTTTTGTTATATTCCATGGAATGCTCTTAACATCGCGATAGCAATGAATATCTGAAGTGCTTTGACAAAAAATCCATACAAAATCATCATCTGTGGAAGCCGTAGTACTGTAAAAAGCACGACCAATCATCTGAGCCGGCCCGGCTAAAATAACTGGATGGCCTACCTGCCTGTCAGCCTTCCATCTGTGCACAAACTTATCTCGTGCCCTCATTGGTCATGTGCGCGTTTGTGTGTGTTGGAGGAGGGGCTCTGTAAGGAAGTGGCAGATTTGTTCCGGCTGTGTATTTTCACATTCCAGCGCACTCGACCTGGTTTCTCCAAAATTACATACCCCACCTTTAATTGACTGAATATATTACGTTTTGGCCAGGAGTGCACAACATGGTTATTAAAGTTGTTCCTGTTAGACCATACATGCATTTTTAAACGTGTGTGACAGAATAATGGATGACGGACCAGAGGCCCAGCCTGAGGCATAGTTTTGACAGATGAAGTTGAGATGGGTTAATTGACAGTTGCATCATTTGTCTGAAGACAGAGGTCATAACGTGAAGAGCAAAACAAGATCAAGAGAAATAACTACTGCAGTGACAATAAGTGTTGATATACAGAATGAGTATTTTAAGATTTCTTTAATTCAAAATGAGTAGGAGTACAGTATATGTTTGTAATTACATAGCTTTTATGTTTCATTTTTGTTTTAAATCAAAAACACATCACCTCATCTGGTTTATTCTGAATAATTAGAATATAAACTTGCTTCTCTAACTGCATTGATTTTCTCAGATCGACTATGTTTCCCTTTGTGAATTCCTGAGCAACGTTACGTCTCCTCTCACACTCAAATGAGACCTTGCTCCTTTCATAATGAATGTGAATCTGTGAAAACCAAATGAAGGTTCTAGTGACCGGCAGCATCAAAGGAGTAGCATCAGCAAAGCAGCTGTAATTACTTTCTGTAGCTCAGAAAAAATCTGGGCTGTGGCTCACTTTGTTCCCTTTTGTTCGGGTAAAACCATGTTGCTCACCTTTAAAAAATGAGCTCTGAAAAGCAGATGAAATACTGTGGGCGGGGTCCTTTAATTTAACACATTAAAAATGAATTTCATATTACACAGCTTAGTTGAATATTCATTGATTGTGATTGTCAATTTGGACATTCCAGTAGTCTGCTATTTTTTGCTGGCATATCACTGCTATGGAGGACGCTCTGATCGAAGGGTACTTTCCATATAACTTTATATTTCGAAAAGCACAAAACTTTGGATTCACAATTGCTCAAATATCCCCAATAAAGGGAATAAAAAGGACGCAAGAGAAGGTAAAGAGCAGAGCGCTGGACCCCAGAGAAGTCAACAAAAGACAGACAGGAAGTAAACATTAACGGGAAAACAGTGTTGGCTCAGGCAGCGTTTAAAAGATTGGTTAATGGAAAAGAAAATGTGAAGAGACTTGGACAGTTATTGGATGGTAGGGCTGTACCCGAATATTAGACTATTCGAATATTCGTTCGTTGGCCAACTATTCGGGTTTCAATGTCATTATTCGGATATTCGTTTTTTTTTATAAATGTATGCTATTAATAAAGGCGAATTGCCATATTCTTATACTATATATTTATACTTTTGAATTGCACTGTTAAAATGCGGAAATATATACAATCTCAGCCTGTGCTCCTGACATCGCGTTCACTCACAGTCACAAACGCAAACGGCATGCTTCACCTCGCTTCACCTCGTTTCACCCACAAAATGCCGAAGACTTCAGCTGTGTGGGACCATTTTAAATTGGAAGACGGTAAGAAGAATATGTGCCAAATATGCGATAAGAAACTGGCCTACCACGGTGGCACAACAACTCTGAAAAGTCACCTGGATGCTGTAAGTAGTAGCCTAGCTTAGCTTAGCTGTTGTCAAGTTGCCATGATGAAGCTGCTTTATCCGCCGTTTAAACAGTAACGTTACACATGATAAAAACGTGCACTTACTTTGCTTGGAAAATAGTTGCAAGCAAGCAACCTAATTGTTTTTTAATTTGATCCAAATAGTGAAAATAATAGGAGTAATGTGGGAACATCTGGGGCTAAGGCAATTATTGGCATAAAGTTGAGTAGCTCAGCCTAATAATAACTTGTGTCCATAGGTGCATCCCTACGCATCCCAGCCATCAACATCCTCAACAATACAGCAGACCCTACAGTTCCAAAAACCGATAACGGAGAAAAGAAAGATAGAGATAACAGATGCCATAGTAGATTTCATCGCTATGGATATGAGACCCATTTACATAGCCGAAGGCTTCAGAAAATTAATGAAGAAGATGGAGCCCGGCTACACTGTCCCCAAACGCTCCAGTATTTTAGATGCCATGTCTCTGAAGTACAGCGATCACCGAGACCAAATTTCTAACTCAGATTGAAAAGATGTCTTCAAATGTCCAAACATGTGCACTCTTGTGATAACAATGGTCTGATGAAGAATTGTGCAACAGGCATGTACCATGTCTGCCACATTGTTTACAACTGTCAGCTCTGCTTATTAATTGGGATTGCAGTAATGACCAGTCAGCAAAGTTTTCTAAGTCACATCTGACAGTCAGTATTTATTATCAAACTAAAGCTTGCAGCAACCTTTAGCTCT